CACACACACACACACACACACACACACACACACACACACACACACACTGAAACAGAACTGTTTTCAGACACTTGTGCATTTAGTTGTGATAAAAACAAAGAAGATTTTTACATTTATTTAAATTATTAGTTAAATTATTGGTCAGCTTTGATCGTGGGGGGACTGGGGGCCGGGGGCAAACCCTGCTTGGGGCAGGGGGGGGGATTCAGAGGTGTTCTGGCTGCTGTTGACCGAGTGTGTGTGTTAATTTGATGTTGGATTTGCCAACATATTTGTGCCATGTTTCAAGACCCCGGTTTGGACCAGATCATCTTCAGTGATATCCCCACACTTTCCTTTTACACCTCATCCAGGCAGTGTTTATAGTCCCACCTTTTGAGCTGCGCATGGACACACACTCAGCATTATTTGTGCCGAGTCGTTTGATGCCTTCAGGATCCTAATCCCAGCTCCATAGATGGGGCTTAGAGCTGCGCTTTAAGTGCTAATTGCAGCAGTAATGAGAGTGTCCGGGCACCACAACAGGCCTTTGGCTTTACCCAATCAGTGTCCCCCCTCCCCCCCCCTTCCCCACCCTTACAGCCCTACTACCTCCACCCCCCACTGAGTGGCAGCCTCGCTAATTAAATAATTAGATGTGGAGCAGCGTTTCTATCTGACTTGCTCGGGGAAAGTAATCCTCACATAAATAGCTTTTTCTGGGTGAATCATGGAGGGTTCCCTCCTCCTCGTCCTCCATATTCACTGTTTTTTTCTCTCTCCCTGCCTCTGATGGTGGCGAGAGATCCGTCTGTGTGTAGCATGAGTTCATCATGACGCTGCATTGTCACTGTGATGAGGTTTGAGCTGTTTTGGCTTTGGTTTGGCTGGTCCAAAATCTAACGTCTAGAATCTGAAAGCAGCGTCCCCTTGAGTTTGAGAGCCCAGATTGAAGCGTCTGTTGGGGGATCAGACACAAGCATAGAACACCACGTTACAACCAGTGTAGGATTTCAGAATCACTTCAGTTTGACTCTTACAGTTAAATCTGTACAACAATACTCTTTGGATTTATGCAAAAAATGGTTGTGGGTTCTTTCTGTCCTTATTGGAGCTTTAGCTTGACGCTCGTCAGACTCCCTTGCATCAAAAATTACTTTGAAAATAAATCCACGGGTCCACTTCTTGCTTTTAACTGTTCATTTATAAACTTAACTTATAAACAACATTACAAAAAACATCAAATATATCCACAAAATTAAGTATTTCAAAGTTAAACTGAGCCTGGGAAGGGCGAGGTCAAAAAACTCCCTCTGATTCCAACTGACCACACTCCCCTGGCATGAATGAATGAATGAATGAATGAATGAATGAATGAATGAATGAATG